GAGGACCAGAATTGAAGAGAGAACAATGCGGGAGGGATGGAACATAGAGAAGGTGATGCAGAGAGAAGCGGGCTGGTTTTCTTGCTGCATCACTGGTTACTAACAGCATCCTGGGGAATTATTAGCAGAGACCGAGGGGACAATTTCTCATCAACCCCTCCCCCTCCCCTTGCACACCAACCCATAAGCAGAATGATTGCTACCAGACTGCCTTTTCTGTACACCAGCACATATTTCCCCTCTTAACAGTCGGTCCTAGCTTTCAAGTTTTATTGCTGTCCTCTGGCTGAAAGTCTGTGCAGTATTTTACTCAAATGCAACACTGGTCTCCCCCCCACACACAGGTATGCCATAAAAGGGGGGTCATCTTACATTCACTTACAAGATAAAAGTTATGTCCAATTTTAAAAAAATGTGTGTATACCATTTTTAAGCATTATATTTAGGGTCATCTTCCTTTTGATTAAATACAGCATAAGCTGCATGACAGACCAGCAATTTACATAACTTTTTACACCACTAGGTTTGAAATTTCGAATGGCTCAGACGTGCCTGCACATGTCTTTGTCACAGAGCCCACTCCCACCCCTGAAGTTAGCATCATGCACTCTTTTATCATGCATCACAACCGTTGGAGCAAGAGCAACCTGCAGTGTCCTGATATGGATGTTAACAGCTCACCTCTCTCTTGTCAAACTTGTCCTCCTTCCTCCACCTATTCCCTTAATTCGCCTTCCTTTATCTTGTAGTTTGTAAGCCCGAGGGCAGGGCCTGAGTCTTGTTTTCATTTGTATACAACAATATCGTGTATTGAATTTTTAATTGCTGTGAGTGGCTTTGGGAGGTAGTGTTTTTTTTTTAATGAAAATCAGGATCAAATTGCATGAGTCCATAACATGAAAACATTATGACCTAGCCAAGCTCCAATATTAGTAACCACTGTAATTCTTTTTTTAATTTTTTTATACAATCCAGCACACTTCTTTTTCTTCTTGGTTGCTTCCTCCCACCATTTAAAGTTTTCTCTGAACGTAGCTGTATTCGCATATTTTGAGTCTTGTGCATGGATTAGGATTGCCAGCCTCCAAGTGGGGCCTGGAGATCTCCCGGAATTACAACTGATCTCCAGATGACAGAGATCAGTTGCCCCTGGATAAAATGGCTACATTGGACTCTATGGAATTAATATGCTGCCCTCCCCAAACCTCCCCAGGCTTAACCCTGCAATATCCAGTAATTTCCAGTCTTGAAGTTGGCAACCCTAGTATGCATGATAACTAGTGTGAATTAGGCTTGCCTCCTGACCCCTGCCAGCCCTTCCTGCTGTCACTCAGCTGGGTGGTAGGAGAGAAGGGGAGGGAGATTGGCAGCATCCTGATACCCTTACGTCACTTTTGGTGCAACCTGGAAGTGATGATGTTGTGTCAGGCAACACTCTAGTATTCACCCAAAAACTCTATGGTTAAACTATAATGTCTGGGGCAAATACTAGAGTGTCACTGGCTACATAATAACATCACTTCTGGGTTGTGCCAGAAGGGCCATCAGCACAGTGCCAGTGATGTCATGACATCACCAGCAAGGGCTCCCATGATACAGTAGGGTTGTCATTCCTCAATTGGGAGTGGGGAAATGCCCCTTTTTGGGTGCTCCTGCCCCCTGCCAACCAACTGGCAGGCAGTAGGAAAATGATGTAATCAGAAATAAACATGACGTGCCTACTTCACCTGGAAGTGATGTAAGCACATCGGTGACATCGGGGGGCAACGCTCTGAGTTTGGGGCAAAACTCTATGGTTTAGGCTGGTTTTACCATAGAGATTTGCCCCCAAACCAGAGCAGCACCCCAGATGTGCCTATGTCACTTCCCAGAGATGTAGGCATGCCCTACGATGTCACTTCCTGTTCCTGAAATGTCCCCCCCCTTCTCCCCACTGGGGTTTCAGATGGACCTGGCAACCCTACAATACAGAGAGTCTCCCACTATTTGCTAGGCTCAGGCTGGCAGCCCTCATGTGACTCTTGCTTGAAACTATTTTACCACACCTGTCTGCCACAAACACTTCAATACTGTTTTCAATGCAGCACAAAAGTCAGTGAAAATCTATATTAATGAAAACAATTCCTTTAAAACTGGACTGTGATGGAACTGGGAGCATCAAAATAGCAAAACAGTGGGGAGTGAGTGGTACTCACCCCAAACACAAATGAATAAGATGCTTATATGCCTAAAAGACAAAAGGTAGTGTAGGCTTGCCAGAGGGCTGACGGTGGGGACATGGGGGAGGGGGGGGCGTCATTAATGACATCACCTACATTGCTATGCCACTTGAGGGTTTTCCCCAGATGTGATATCGGGAAACTCTGGGTAAAACCAACCCTCTTGTAAAACCAAAAAACATTAGAGACATTGCTTTTTGAATGTTATTCCTCTTCCACCGCTGCTGAGAGTGGCAACAGGCAAAGAGAGCTGCCAGCAGGACCTCCTGCCGTAGTGGGAAGTCTAACAAACCACAGTAACTGCAGTGTTCAGGGACCAAAAATAGAACAAACCGTGCAGGAAAGAAGGCATAAAAATAGTGGTGTTGTTAAGCTCTAAGTAGAAATCAATCAAACAATATCAAAATGGAATGATTCCACAATGAATATGGGATGCAAAATATTCATGCAATGAAAATCCGTATTAAGACATACACAAAGTATGATTTCACAAATACTTGATGAGGAGGATTACATGAGAAGATTCCAATGAATGATCAAATGCAAACCATTCCAAAAGAAGACTCTTCTAACAAGGGTGCAAGCTACAGTCTATTTCCTTTCACTGTAAAGCTTTATCAAAGTAGGACCGGTGCTGTTTTTTGCTGGATCAGCAAATAGGCGTGTTTGATATGGAATTACCCGAACAATTAAAAAAGCAGTACTGTTCTTTGCTGTGTATTAAAAGGATATGATATGACAAACATTCCAAAGGACTGTAGAAACATTTTACATGCCGTCCAAAAGTATTTTACAAAACATACCTGTATCAACAAACAGGAGTGCTTGATATGGAACCACCCAAATAATTCAAAACTTCACAGATGGTTCAGTACTTCATAAATGGCATAGCTCAATGTTTTACAAACCTTGCTATCCGCATGAGTTAAATAACTCAAAGGTACAAGCAGCCAGATGTTCCCAATTAACAGACTTATGCTTCTCCAAGTGTGGCCTGGAGTTCTGGAATCACAACTTAGCTCCAGACTACACAGATCAGTTCCTCTGGAGGAAATGGCAGCTTCAGGGCACTCTCTCCCCTCCCCAAATTCCACTTTCCCTAGGCATGGCCTTCAAATGTCCAGGAATTTCCCAAACCAGAACAATCCTACAATAGCCCACACCTCACCTCCAAAGCACCCAGTACAAAGACAAGGAAGAAATAAAGAGTCAGCATCACTGAAGTAGTCAGAGTGTCCATCTAGGAGATTCAAATCTCCACACTGGCATGGAATTTGCTGGGAGACCTTGGGCCAGTCTCTGTCAGCCTAACCTACCTCACAAGGCTGTTGTGAGGATAAAATGAGGAAAGAAGAACCATACACATCACCCCGAACTCCATGAATGAAGAATGGGATAAAAAATACGTTCCACACAGAGAATTAGGGAAGGATCATCTTCTTCACGTCTAGTTTGTGGCCAGACTTCTTGAACAGCCTCAAAACTCACAAAGGGTATGAAGATGATTCCAGTTTTTCCCCTGTATAATCTGGATGACCAAAAGCCTGCTCTTAAAACAGCAAAAGATTAGGAAGTTGATTACACAAGTTATGTAGGGAATCCAGACAGCCTTTGTTATAGGTCTTCTTCCTCTCTAAACAAACATAACTGGGATTTTTAAAAATTCAGAAAATTATTGCGACACCTAGGGTTGCCAGGTCTGGGTTGGGAAATTCCTGGAGGTTTTGAGGGGTAGAGCCTGAGGAGGGCGGGGTCTGGAGAGGGGAAGGGCATCAGTGGGGTATCATTGCCATAGAGTCCACCTTCCAGAGCAGCCATTTTCTCTTGGGGAACAGATCTCTATAACCTGGAGACCAGTTGTAATTCTGGGAGATCTCCAGCCACCACCTGTGGACTGGCAACCCTAGCAACACAGCATTTCAAACCCATTTTCTGGAGCCCATACTATGCTCACCAGGAAATGCTTTATATTTTCATATATCAGTAGGGTTGCCAGGCCCCCAGTCCAGGCAGGGGGTCCCCCACTTTTGCGGGGCCCTTTCTGCTGCCAGCCAGCTGGCCAGAAGGGGGAACCCCACCCACAAATGCCCCTGAATGCGACATAATGACATCACCCAGAAGTGGCATTCATCATGCCGCTGATGTCAGGGGAGGTGATGCTCTAGTTTTGGGGCAGATTTCTATGGTAAAATTGGGCTCAAACCATAGAGTTTTGCCCCAAAACTAGGGCATCACCCCTGACATTGGTGGTGTGATGACACCACTTCCAGGCGATGTCATTGTGGTGTGTGAGCAAAGTACAAGAAGATCCTGGGACGGACCCTGGAGCCCCCCGCCAGCTGCCAGGTATGACCTAGCAACCCTATATATCAGCCATGAAATCCAAGAATTAGTTAGACAATGGTGGTCTGTAGCCTCCACAGTTAGCCCAAGTCACAGAGAGAGAGAGAGAACAAGAAACCA